AGAGATGTAATGTTGACTGGGCTCGGTGGCTCAACCTGCAATCTCAGCACTTTGGGGGTCCGAGGCGAGTGGATTGCCTGAGCCCGTGAGTTCAAGACCAGCCCAGGCAACTTGACGAGACCTCATCTCTACAATAAATAAAAAATTAGCGGGGCATGGTAGCATGTGCCTGTAGTTCTGGCTACTTGGAAGGCTGAGGTGGAAGGTTGGCTGGAGCCCAACAGGTTGACGCTGGGGTGGCTGTGAGTGTGCCACTGCACTCCAGCCTGAGCGACAGAGTGAGACTGCAACTCAAAAAAAAAAAAAGAGAGAGTGAGAGAGAGATGTAATGTCACTTGCCCGTGGGCACAGAAGGAGCTGGCATTGGAACCCATGCTGGTGTGACTTCTCCTGTGACCTCTACCCTGGCCTTTAGCCCCCAGCAAGCAAGCCTCAGGTCAGTGCAGACATCAGGGGCTGCTTCTGCGACAGAGGGTCAGCTAGTTTGTCCTTGCTGGGCGGTGGGGAGGTTATGACAGCAGGCAGAGGCTGTGGACTCAAAGAGACCTCCTTGTCCCCACAGAAACAGCCCAAGAGAAATGATTAACTGCTCAAGTTCATGGGTCCAATAAGGCCAAAGACTCCACCCCCAGGGTTAAGAAAGCCAATTAATATGGGAAAAGGTCTTCTCGCTAGTATGGAAAATACCCAGGGCCTGCATGGAATCCCACTGCCACTGCCTCCTGGCATATACTCCCTGAAATTCAACACCCTGTGGAATTGAAATGTATATTTATGTATGTATATATAGACGTATATACATTCTCTTGTACAAAAATGTTAAATTCTGGAGATTAAGTATCTTCGGTTGGGAAAAATCAATTTGCTTCTTTGAAAAGGTTGGAATTGAAAGTTGTGAGCCTGAAACTTACTTTCTTGCCAATTTGCCTGACAAAAAAAGCATCTCTATCCTGGCACAGGGCCCTGTATTGGCTGTTCCAGATTATTCCATTAATTGATTTGGGTGACTGGCCCTGATGCAGTCCTGATTAAGGTTCCCACCAGGGCTGGGACAGGCAGGGTGATGCAGGAGCTGTGGGTACGTGGGGCTCTGCTCACTGGGGTGATGACTGTATCTCAGGCCAGGGATGGGAAACTCAGGCCTATGGTGACCAGAGATGGGAGAGGGGCTGGAAATTCCAGAAGAAGGATTTCCGGGAAGAGGGCAGCATAGCCAGTCAGACTGCCTGAGTCCCTGTGTGAGTGATTGTATGGACAATTCTACATGTGTTTCTGTGTATAAGTGGGAGTGTGGGAATGATTGCTGACCCTAATACCACAGCACCAGGGTGAACACTGGCAGCGAGGTCCAGGATGGGCTGTATTTTACCACTCCCTGCCCCAGACATGCCAGAAGGAACCCCTTCAGGGTTGAGACCTGGGATCATAGAATCACTCAAGGACAGAACTAAGGGGAAACTGAGACCATGGGGCTGAGAATGTGGGCCCCAAGACAGAGAACAAGGACAGTGGGAGGCCATTCTAGGGAAGCAGACCTCGGACCCATCTGCCTAAAGGTGGTGGAGGCAGTAAATCTGTTGTCACTGGAGGCAGGAGGGTGGAACCTCTTGAGATCAGTGTCACAACCAGCTTTATGCCTTGGTGTCACCTCCCATCTTAACTGACCCAAGCACTCTGGTGTCCTTTCCCATCTTCCTCATTCAGTTTACCCACTAGTGACTTTCCTCAAAGCTCAACTGCCTCAGCACTCCCTCCAGCCCCCAACTGAAATTTGTCTCCATCTATGGGGTTGTGCTACTGGAAAGAGCACATGTTTTGATGTCAGGCAAGTCTGTATATAGGAGGAATGAGGTGTTGGGGTGGGGGGAGGATTTGGAGGAGGAGTTTGGAGAAAGGGGAGAGGCTCTCATCCCATTCTGAGACAGGAGGAGTGGGGCAGGGATCCCTGAGTGACTCATTGTCAAGTTACTTTTGTCAGGACTTGATGTATTGGATGGATGACTGGTAGCATGGAGCAGTGGGTGGGTAAGAGAGGTGAGGAGGAGAAGAGGATGGCTAGTTGGGGGCTGGAGATGGATAAGTGGATGGATGGATGGATGAACAGGCGGACAGAGAGGTGGGTGGGTAGATAGATGAGTGGATTGTGGGAGAGGATGGATGGGTGGATGGATAGATGGACTGACGGACGGATGGGTAACAGGCAAGTGGATAGTCAGATAGTTGAATGAACTATTGGTGATGTGTGGGTGAGAGCATGATCGGGTAAATGAGTAGATGGATGAGTGGATAGATGGATAAATGGGAGAATATAGATGGATGGGTGGGTGGATAGGTGGATGGATGCATTAGGAGGTATAATTGCTTCATCCACCCCTTGTTCCCATCTCTGGTAAAAGAAAGAATTGGAAAGCAGAAGAGACAGGAATGGAAAGGAGCTGAGGAGCTGGAGTCACTGGAGGGAGAACAGTATTTAGGTTCCAATAACCAGGAGAGCAGAGTATCTGGGGAGCATATGTATTGGGCAAAGCAGGATGGTTAGACTTGGGTAATCTGATTATAGCCATAGTTGCATTTGATGATTACCTGAAAAAGTGACTGTATTGGGAACAGGAATAGCTCCCATGAGTATGTGGGTAAGAGGTGGATAAGTTATCTATTGCTGCATAACACATTACCCAAAACAGTGTCTTACAACAACAACATGTGCTGCCTCACAGCCTGTGGGCCAGGAATCCAGGGCAGCTTGGCCAAGTCCTCTGAATCAGGGTCCCTCCTGCAGCCGAGTCGAGGTGTGGTTTATGCTGCAGTTGGCAGTTGGTTGGACCAAGGGTTTCGGTTCTTTGCTGACTTGACCAGAAGCTGTCCTCTGTTCCTCACCCTGTGGACTCTCTGTAGGGTGACTCACAGCATGGCAGCTGACTTTCATCAGAGTGAGAAGAGCAGAGAGAGTGCAAGTCACAGTCTCTTGTAACCCCATCTTGGATGTGGCATCCCATATCATTTTGGGGGGGAATTTCTAGCAAGTCACTAGGTCCAGCCTACACTGGAGAGGAGGGGATTACATAAAGGTGTGACTACCAGAGACGGGGATCACTGGGAGTCCTTGAGAAGCTTCCTACCATGGAAGAATCTGGGGGAGTGAGAAAGGAACAGGGGGAAAGGAAGAAGTTGGAAATGGAAAAATCTGCTTCTCAGAAATTACCTAGAAAATAAAAAACATCTGAGGAGTCAGAAAAGCTGGACATCAGGAATATTTCTAAGGGCAAAGGATAGCATGGGGAGAGCCTGGGACTGCAGGAAGAGCTGGGTGGAGGACTATCTGGGGATGGGGGAGAGGCTTGGAGGCAATAGAAGTGAGAATCATGTGGGGTGGGAGTAGCTGGAGAGCAGGAGTGGCTAAAAGTAGGGCAGGCCGAGGACCCAGAGCAGTCCAGGGAGAGCTGCGGGCATCTGAGCCCTTTCATGCCTTTGGTTTTAGTGCAGATAAATTTGGAGCAGGGAAACAGCACTTTGCCCTCCCCACCCTCCCGCCCACAAAGGCCCTGTGCACAAGGAGGCATCACTG